GAAGACACTCGGATTGTTCAGTGGACGCTACCGGTCGCTACGCGGAGACCTCACACTACTGAGCGACCGCCACCTACTGAAACTCAGCCCGAACACCAACGTCAGATGCAATAACCTAAAACTGAGTCAACAACACGATCGTCTAGATTGTCGACGATTACTTCTCCCTCCGGGTCTGCGAACCCTGGAACGCCCTGCCAAACTCAATTGTCTGTGCCCCACATTGGCTATTTTCAAAAAGCGACTGGATATCGAACTGAACGCTTTATACTTTGTTGCTTGAACGGATAATCTGGATTTGTTCTGACTAACTAGCCACTTTGGAATTATGACCCACAGTGACGCACGTACCTTTGTGTGGAGGGTGAGCAATCTGCTTGTTACTTGCCATGAGTAATAACCATCACATTTTATTTGGTTTTATCTGTACTCTCTAACTCCATAACAATCCTACTAAACGCAATTGCTCTATCGGTTTGTCCATGCGTATCTTATTTGGTCCACTTATATAATATTTAAATTGCTTCTTACCAACCTACGGGATATGTTAAGCCAGTGCTTTTTGACCCGTTATGAAGTATTGTTCCATTGTAGCACCTTTAATCTTGATGCTAAGTGTATGGGGCAAATTGAATCGTGGCTCGGTAGCTTAGTCTGCAGGTTTTGTCCAATGATCTAAGCAAGTGCTAAGCAGACCCAATGAACGCGACAGTGTAGTTTAACGAGGGTGTTCTTAAAGTAATCTAGATATACGATGATGGGAGTCATTTCAAAGTACACGTTGTGTGGATGGAATGCGACAGGCAATCTCAATGTTGACCCCGATTCCCATTGAAGCGAACCTTGGTCTTTCGATCACGAGGACCGTAGCTAAGGAAAATAGAAACTGGGAGTTGCCCGCCCACTGTGCAAAGCGTTGCTGGTCGTGACCCGGTGACTTCGGGGTAGCGGTCACAACTAACATCCCAATGGTCCGGTTTCGATGCCTGCTAACTCTATCTGATGAGATGTAATAACATCGAAACGCGTCATAGTAGTGCAATGTTTTCGGGTGGGCAACACCCAATTTCGATTTGCGTAAGCTAGATTCACTTTACAAGATTTTTAAGGCCGTTGAATATGCTTCTCTACCGTGACAAACAGGGCTAACTACAAGGCAGTTTGCACGTGACTAAGTAATAGCTAGATAACAGGAAGCCGTTGCTGACAAACAAATGGCCATGCACCTTCGCAACCAGAGACAACTCATGGCGCTGAAGTCCAACACCAATAGAGCCGAGCTAGTGACGCGTGAACAGCCCACCCGTATGCCAGTCTTGAGTGTGTGCGGCTCTAACGAATCCAAAATCGCAAGAAATATGTTCGTATGCATATTGTTTGCAGCCAAAGCGTTGACCACTTTAGTGAGTTGCCATAAAGGTAACTGTCAACAGCATGCAGTATAGTCTAACAGATGACAGAGTCACGGAAGCTTTTGTAATCAATAAATAGCCATCCTCGCCTTGATGATTTGCTTAGCAAGAGTTTATGTATTCAGGCATCGTACTCGGGGTCCTGAATAGATGCCTCATTATGGCGCAATCACCAGTGCTCCTGTATTCAATCGAACCATTGAATCTACTTGTCACTTCGTCTCACGAATTGCACTTGTTTCGTGTTGCGTTCCTTGAAACCCTTAACTCTATGTTCAATTGAATTTTATTCCCTGGTTTGCCAAAAAGTCACCAATTATTATTATTATCGGTGTTTAATACAGTAACTGGTTCATCGTCCTTCGGTGTTCAGGTCATAGTTGATGTACCGAAGATAAACAAAGTCTTCAGATGACGTTGTCAAAGAATTGGGCGAACAAGGACAAAGGTAATTCCCTTATATGTGGACATAATGAGCAATGCCGAATAAGTCTGGAAACGCCTGTGAGCATGATCAGTATGAGGTACAAACTACGAGTAAATGGGTTTTGAATCATTCTAGCTGGGGAAGCATTTCCGTGGCCAACTCGAAGCGGAATGAATCTGGTTTGAAGATGGTGATAGGAAGGGAGCGTCAGTCACCGAACTAAGAGGAAGATCTGCGCTGCTGCTCTCTGCTCGCGTGTGTACTGGTGGGGTCGCAACGAATCTCCAACAGTCTGGCTCTGGTTAGGTGAATGACTTGTTCGTGTCTCTTGTCACATCCGATTGTGGGTACAATTCTAGTGAAAATCTACTGGGACAAATGGCAAGTAAATAGCCGCACATGCACGGTTAAAGTTGGGTAGTCTACAAGAGATGGAGATTGACATCCGAAAACATGTTGCCTTCTACTGCTTCGGTGCACTGATACTAGATCAACTGTTGTCGAAGATGAACTCCATCGGCGAGGAAAGGAGATCATTCGCATGCAACAATCAGTAACATTGATACCGTTACCAAAATGTACAACCCGTCAATGACTAACTAAGCTCATCCCGTCACGGATACTTTGTTGCCATAGTCACGTGGCCTCGCAATTTGGCTGCGCACTACATCTTTCCTCTCTCAAGAAATCACTGGCACGCACACTTTCGACGATACTTCCTAAAAATCTATTGTTTCACTCGTCTACTATCGCACGAATCGATTATCATGGAGTGCGGACACCTTTTATATCATTTTTGTCTATACTGCGATGGAGTTGTACAGATTAATATTTCTACTTGCTCCCACTTAAGGTATTCATCACCAGTATAAAAAATACACGAGGCTCTGAAATCGGTATGTTTCCTCACAAGCCAACAACGACAATCGATCTATCAGTGAGAAAAATCTATAAAACGGAAGAAATCTGTAAAAAAAGCATCGTGCGGGACGAAAAACTGCTCTCAAGAAGAAAATCGTGGTAACTATGGGCATGCTTATTTTTCCAATCGTAAATGAACGTTTGCTTCTTAGAAAAATGGAGAACCTTAGAAGCATTATTAATGGTCATATGCACAGCTAGAAATCATTATGCCGCAAGAGACATGGCTCCATAAGGATGTTGAAGACGCCGTTGTGGCAACTGAGTATTTCATTTGTTTTCGCGCTGATCGCCCATGCACTTACCGGAATCGTGGCGGTGGTGTCATAACCATTATTAACGCCCCCTGGCGCTTATCAGTGTAAATCCTCTTCTGCTATTCATCACAAAGTATCGATTGCTTGATCTTAAAGTGTAATCCAAAATATCTGAATTGGAACCGCTCAATGTCCCAACTCAGAAATGGACAAAGTTTACGATGATTTTATAGCTGCTGTTATTGGGAAGACTGACCACTCCATGCGCATATTTGCAGGTGATTTCAATAGATTTGACACCGAAATTCCTGACAACTCGGGCTACAGAACATCATAAAATGTCCAACCAAGTTAGAGGCAATTCTAAATTGTGCATATGTCAACAATCTAGATACTTTCGGTCTGTAATCGGGCACCACTTGACAGCTCAGATCATACTATAGTCAAGTTAACCCCTGTTGTCTACAGTAAAACAAACCACAAGAGAAATTGTACACGTGTCTGCTCCCTCGAATACAACAACGCGTTCGACTCCGTTAACCGCAAATTTCTGGTTCACGAACTCACGACTACCGGTATTCAACCTTCCCCAGTCTTCTTGCTAAATGATTATTTCGCCAAACATACCCAGGTCACCAGGTTAGGGGAGAAAAGATCATCACCACTTCTCGCAACTTCCGGTGTCTTGCAAGGAGGTATTTTGTCATCATTCTTGTTCCCGACTTACGTTAGCTCTACATTTGTTTCAGAAAACATTTTGTTAAAATATGCTGATGATGTTATCATCAGTGAGTCATCAAACTTCTGCCTCTTCAGCCAAGCTGCAGTGGTCAAATTCACGCTGCTTGACGCTGAACGCGTCCAAGTGCAATGACAGTATGCTTTCACTACATAAAGTAGCTGGTTACCTGGAACCTGTCACGGAAAGTCCCAAATTTCAGATTGAGAGCGACCGTTTGAGCTTCCGTACGTCAGTGAAGTAGCTTCGAATTACACTGAGCCACGATTCGTCGCAGTCACTCCACGTGAATCAAATACTCACCAAAATTAGGCGGTTTAGGTGTTAAGTTGCAGGATTATGACCATCCTGTGTACCATACAATTTGATTCTGAAGTTAATCACTGCGTGTATCCTACCACACTGGAGTTATTGCTCTTCTGTGATTTGCCCAGACCTACTGTGTAAGCATTTGAAGTTGCTTGACAGGTCACTGAAGCACTTGTCTCGCTACGGTGGCATTCCAAATCCAACTTTGGCTCAAACAACTGTATCTTCAAAAATACTCACTGACAGTAGCCACGTTCTTTACACTGCACTTTCTAACTGTATATCCAGCTCGTCGACCAGACATAAGTATAGAACAATATATGCCCCGCACGAGGGCTTGTGGTCCGTCGTTCATTCTCTAGGAAGCCAAATATCTATTTGACCAAACTCTATTATCCAAAGAATGAACGGTAAATTTTGCCAATGAGGTTGTTTTCCACTGAGTTGTTTTACCACTTTTAAAGTGCTTTTTCTGTCATGTCGATAGCATGTGTCAAGGCTGAAAATTCACCCGTTACGGGTGCACACAAGCGCATTCTTGACTTGGATACATACTGCGCTACTCGACAGACAGTGCTTGTTTCCACTCGGGTTTCACGTTTCCATCGGTCTGCGATGTTTCTATCGATCGAACTGAAGTGAAGTACATGAAAGACAAACGTAAAATATCGAACTCAAGCAATCGGTAGGAAAAATTTTGACATACAATGTGAGACATCACAGGAGGGGTAGTCGTAGGCCGTGCCCACTGTATGCATGATGGTGGAGGAGTTGCGTCATAGCAGAGTGAAAGTCATGGCGGCTCACGGCCGCCACTTATGATACAGTGGCATAACCCGTTTACGCGTAACAGTAAGCGCATGTGTTCGGATCCGGCGGATGCGCGCTACAGACGAATCCCCATAGTACCAAGGTTCTGAACAGATTACAAGAGCTTCTAGAAAAATATGTTATAAATAAATGAAGTGTATCACATGTCATATCTGGAAATTGTCGAATGCAGGACATAATTGTGTCACCGTCCCCATCGCTGCTTGATGGCGCCGAAACGAGAGAGCAAACGAAGAAAGTCTTCCCGCTGAATATGCCAATGGGAGGTCATGGTTCTGAAACGATATAACAAGATGTGAGAATGAAAGAGTGTGAAGGTTGTTTTGTTCTAGAGTATCAGGGACGGGGTAAAAGATCCCCGTCTTAAGTATATAGCTATGCACTACTAAAGGAGTATTTCAAACGCGACAGATCCAATCTAATTATGTGAATTAAATTTACAAGCATCCCACCCGATCCACGCCAACAAACATTAAATTGGAAATCGTTTCGCGACGCTCTGTGTATCACCGAGAATGACTCATCATGTCATGGAATAACAGTGAGATAGCGAAGGTAAAAAAAACCCAGTCCATGCGGCTGTTTTTGAGAAAAATGGGTTTTACGGTCGGTATTATAATGGGATGTTTATACTGCACATACGCTGAGAGACAATCGGTTATCCCCATTGGATGATTTCAATGCGTGCGTCAAATGTGACTTCACAGCGTGGGCAGATGTAGTCGGGTCACATGATGTTAGCCTGGCCAAAGGGGGTGATAATCGCCTGCTCTCACTGTGTGCCACTCATGGTCTGACGGTCACAAACACAAAGTTCCAACTGGGTGCATAATACTGCTATCAGGAAACACCCAAGGAGTGATCACGCGCACGTGCAGATATGGCTTAGCAGTCTCAAATAGTGCAACCAAACCGGCTTGTCATAGGGAAGATTCGAATTCCTTAGAATACGACATGTAACCATCGCTGCGCATATGCCGTTGCAACCATACACGAGAAATCTCCCTCAAATACTCATTGCCAAAAACAGAGAGCCGGCGTGTCATCCACGCAAACTGACCATCACTTGCAGCTATACAGCAACACTCTCAAAAGGCGTCGTCGTAAACAACACAATTTACCGAGAGACATTCAGACGACGCCACAAGTGTTTTAGGTTGACAAACACCGACCTGGTTTTAGTGATGTATAGAGAAACTTTCTTACCAATAGTTCCACCAGCAGAAACGCAGCTGCTCAGTAAGACAAATCCATTCACGTGTTCAGGTTGTGTACCCTTAAGGGTGAGTGCCAATCCAGGAGCAGCACCTTACACTTCGAGGGGCGAAGCACATATCGTAGCTAGATGCCTAAATCGACAAGCGATTCAGAATGGCTTAGGTGCTCAGCAATGTTAACAGCATGACCTAAGTCGGTCGCCCACTTGCCTAGTGGTAAGTCCAGGTCAAAATTTTCGTAACCATCCATAGCTCTAGAAAGGTCTATTCAAATGGAAAAGTAAAGAGAAACGTGGACATAGGATAGCGCTGTCCTACATCATTGTTAACAGAAAAGAATGAAGAGAACTTGCCACAAACCAACACTCTGTCAGACGTACGGAGAGACAAAGCACACAGGACCGCACCTTAGTTAAAAGCGTGACAATCACTGACTAGCATCAGGAGGTAGACACCATCATGCCGGATTTTAGAGAATAAGGTCAAATGGCTAAGGGTTATTGTGTCGTCATACTTAAACAGCTCTGGAGGAAGTCCGTCCAACGCATCAGCCTTCAGTCACTCTAAGTGTCGAATCGCAAGGCAAACTTCCGCTTCGCTGAGTGGATCGAGTGTAACGGCCTTAGGTTAGACAGCTGCGTTCGGATGACATGCAAGAGGGCGGCGAAAGACAACCAAACTAGGAATGAAAACTTTCGATCCATCGATCCAGGCGTCTCCGTAGGCAATTGATAGGTAAACTATACGCTTCGTAAATAGTCTCACTGACACCAGGCCTCCTGTGGCCATTGGATCGAATGATCCGGAAGAGCTTGCGATTATTTCCAGATAGGACAGCCGCCTACATTTCCGACACGTTTAGACCACCGTGCCTTACGACCACTGCATAAGCTTCGTTTGAAGTGCCAAGTGACAAAACGATGCACTTCATTGCGATCTGAAACCCATGGAATATTCTGTAACGATCAAACAGATCCAGGAAGCGAACTGAGGTCCAGGCCGTCAGGTGGTGTCGAGTAAAGTAGTAGATTGACTCTCGGGTAGATAGCATCGCCTTCTAAATGAATGTTCAGTGTTGCTCAATGGCTTGCGGTGTATCTCGGCGGAGCGCATTTAACCTTCATACATACGGCAAAGTGAGGGTCTATGGCCAGCTTTCCTCACCATTACCTGTCATTAGCAGTGTGCAACACGGCTGCCCTATGTCCCCATACATGGTTAACTTCGCAATCAAAGACGTTCTGTCGAGTGCTCTAGGTTTACAACATTTTGGCCTAGAGCTTCTACCGGGTGACCGAGCAAACGACTAAGATTAAGCTGATGATATCGCCTTACTTGCTGGCGATAGTCTGGATCGTTTGGCGGTTGAAGCATCTCCGTATGGCATGACCTTCGCCGCATCGAAGTGTGATGTGCTGCTCCAGGATTGGGCTACAAATGCTCCCGTGCTCACTCCTGAAGGTGCACAACTTGAACAGGTAGATAATTTCGTCTACTTTGGGAGCTGTGTTTTTGCTGACGGCACTATCATCAAGGAAGTTGCTTTTCGTATCGCCAAAAGCCGATCAACATTTGCCAATCTGAGGCACTACTGACAACGGTGAACATCTGCTGCAACTGTGTGCACAGCACTAGTTGTTTCTTACTAGCACTGCTTTTAGACACAGTGGGCGCCGAAGTGTCACTTGGCGTCCACCTGTAGCTGGCCAGCGATGGACCCAAATTGACCACATAGCCATAAGTTACAGGTGGCGCGGTTCCATTCTGGATTGCCGCTCGTACTGGAGTACCTGTGTCGACTCTGATCATGCCTTGGTACGCTATCCTTTCTCCATGAAGTTTACCGGAAGGCGCACAAAGCGTCTCCTCCTATTGGCAACTGAGAAATTGTCTCAACCTATCAAGACGCACTGCGTACCGAAATTTCGCTGTCTTGTCCTAATGACACTGAGCTTCAGTGGAATAAGATCTCGGCCGCCATGCACGACGCAGGAGCATCTGCTTGTGGCACTATCAATCGTCACCGCACCAGTCACTGGATATCCGAGAGGTCGGTGAACCTATTGGAATCTAGAAGACACCTCCCGGCTGGCTCTGAACACAATGTGACCAGACGGGCTATTAGGCGTGAACTAAAGCAAAGCCTAAGTGCTGACAAGGAAAGCTGGTGGACCAGCCGGGCTCAAGAAACGGAGGAGGCAGGAGCAGTAGGCAATTACCGGAAGCTCTTCCAGCTAATCCGCCCCACTGGTCCCAGAAAACCAGGCGTCAGTGACACAATCAGAGACAGCGCGGGTGCGCTGATACACAATAAGGAGCGCCGTATGGCTCGTTGATCAGTTCAGCTGGCCCCCTGCTCCCGGATTTCTTCCTACTCAGGTGATGCAGGACGAGCCATGCACGGTTAGTTTAGAGCCTCCGTCGGAGGCCGAGGTCCGAAACGCGATCACAGCCCTTAATCGTTTTCGTGCCGCCGGCACGGATTCCCTCCCACCTGCACCATTAAGGAATGGAGGTGAGGTCCTCTGCAGAGCACTGACCTCCCTATTCGAACGTATCTGGAAGGAAGTGTCCCGGCTAACTGGAGCGTATCGATTATAGTGACAATATACCAGAAGGGCAGCCGCACAGACTGTGCTAACCACAGGGGTATTTGCCTAACGCCAGTTAGGACAAAATTACTGGCCTCGAACCTCGTTCGTCGCACCACTGTGACACGGGAATCGGATTAAGGAAGAGCAGGCCAATTTCTACTCGGGAAGTGGCCATATAGACCATATATACACTTTGCAGCAGGTGCTAGAGCAGCGCCACGTATACCGCAAACCGACAATAGCTGTGTTCCTCGATTTCAAGAGTGACTTCGATTCAGCCGATCGATGCATTCTGTCCGAAATACTTGCGCGGAAAGGTGTTCCCACAAAATGTGTGAACATCCTTCGTGATCTATACTCGAACACTACAGGTCGCGTCAAGGTCTACGGTGTTCTATCGGTTAGCTTTCCGACCACAAGTGGCGTTTGTCAGGGTTGTCCGATTACCCCATTTCTGTTTAATTTCGTCGTGGATTCTATCATTGAGTATTCCCTTGCGGAATCTCACGATGTAAGCGTTGAGGTCCTACCTGGAAAAAGATAAGTTGATCTAGATTATGCGGACGATATTGTCTGGCATTTCGACGATGTTGCGACGGCACAATCAATCCTGAATAGCCTGTACAGAGTGGTCCCATTATTTGGGAGGCACTTCGCACCTCCAAAGTGCAAAGCGTTGCTGCAGGACCACCAGTCACTCGATGACCCCTTGACGCTTGCTAAAGAGGAACTCGAGGTGCTTGATCAATTCACTTATATTCGCAGCTGCATCAGCAACGATGGGCTCATAGAAACTGACGTCACCTAACGCACTGCAAGGGCCAGAGCTGCCTTCTTGAACCTGCGGCATCTTTGGCGACAGAAGGGAATTTCCCTCCGTCTGAAAGGCCGGGTATACAAGGCCACAGTGATAGCCGTTCTGCTCTATGGTAGTGAAACTTGGCGCCTTCAGTCTGAAGATCTGAGGCGCCTTCAAGTCTTTGATCATCGTTGTTTACGTAGCATTGCTGGTGTCGGATAGCACCAGCGTGCCCCCAACGATGATGTGCGTAGACGAGTACTAGGTGGTGATAACCATACTATTTTCCTAAAACAACAGATAGCACTGAATAAGTTGCGTTGGCTCGGGCACGTGCTACGTATGCCTGGTCACCGTTTACCTAGGAGGGCCTTGTTTAGTCTACCAGGTGTAGGGTGGTGCAAGTCTCGATGTGGACAGAAGTTGACTTGGAAGCGGGAAATGAAGTCATTGACGACAAAACTGGCGGCCGTCGGTCCGTCTCGCCTTCCACGCTTGAGTAAATGGGATTCGCCTTGTGTTTGGCTCGAGATTTTAAAGGACATGGCTCGCAGTAGACACCAGTGGCGCGTCTGCTGCCGTCTCCTAATCGGATTGCCTGTTTAAAGTGTGTTTGGTGCTGAGTTATCTGCGGGGTAATGGCTGATTATGACGTGGGGCAGTGA